CAAAAACTCATTTTACAGCTGTCTCCTTAGAAATTTTGGACTCAATTGTGGTCATAAGTCTGGGGCTAGCCATGTGTATATGTATTTTATACACATACATTATACATTATACATATACACATATGCTGTATTTACATGAAAAACAAAGAATATTCCTACACACATATATGCATACATGCAGTGTATACGCACACATACATTGTATACACACACACATATACATATATAGTGTATACACACACATATATACAGTGTATACACACATACATATAGTGTATACTCACACAGGCATACATATATACAGTGTATACACACATACACACATATACATACATACAGTGTATACACACATACATATACAGTATATACATATACAGTGTATACATATACACACACACATATACATAGTGTATACACACATATAGTGTACACACACACATACATACAGTGTACACGCACACACACACAGGTAGTCCTCGACTTATAACAGTCCATCATTGCAGCATCCCCAATTCAAATGCTTGGTTCATACATATGATGCTCGCAGTATCCTGGGGTCACGTGATCCCCTTTTGCCACCTTCTGATAAACAAAAGTCAATGGGGAAGCCAAGATTTGCTTTACAACCATGTGACTAACTTAACAACTGCAGTGATTCGCTTAATGGCGGCGGCGAGAAAAGTCGTAAAATGGGACAAACTCACTGAACAAATGTTTCAACGAGCAACATAAATTTGGGGCTCAATTGTGGCCGTTAACTCGAGGACTACCTGTCTATTCCTTGGTTCCCGTGTAAAGGGACAAACCCACCCTAAAAATATATCCCTGGTTGTTCCGCCATTTTGAGTTTTTCAAAGCCGGGTGTTTCCCCGACGCGAAAGTCTCAAGAGGGAATTTCTGATCAGCCAGCCAAGGGAGGCGACGGTGTCAGAGGCACGTCTTAAGAGGAGACACGTCAGTTGAGCTCCCAAAGTGGCACAGATTGTGACAACTACACAATTAATCTGTCAGCGGCGCCTTCTTCTCGGCCTCCGAATGGATGTCAGGAGGATCAAAAAAACAAAACAGAAAAACAGAAAAAAAAAAGAAAGCAGTAAGCGGTTCAGGCATCTTTCATGCCAACCCTCATTTATTGCTACAGATGCAGTAAAAGGAAGAAAACAAACACACGCACAAAACAGAGACAGTGGATTCACAAATGTGTCAGGAGGCCAATAAATCTTCCTCAATTATCTGACAGTTCGCTTGCTTACACGACAGACGAGTCAAAGGCAAAGGAAAGAAATCTTATTTTTTTATGCTTGCAAAGAGAGAGAGAGAGAGAGAACGAAACCAAAATAGCATCAGGTAGGTGGATTTTTTGAAGAAAGAAAAAAATAAACAAAACATTATTACACACACACACGAGTCGTCTGCTTGCAGGCTCTGCTCCCATCCTCTCTTGAAAAGTGTGACTCAGGTAGCAACTGACATGATTTACGGGGAGTCCTCGACTTACGACACAGATAGAGCCCCAAATTTCTGTCAATGAGCGAGAGAGTCGCTAAGTGAGTTTTGCTCCATGTTATGACCTATCTTGGCCTCAGTTGTTAAGTAAATCACTTGTCATACCCCTGTCGGAATCTGATTCAGAGGGGGAGGCTGAGCAGCTGACAGGGAGTGGGAGTGTGGCTCCGTTAGAAACTGGGGAAGAGCAAAGTCCAGCTGGGCAGAGCAGGGGAGAGGAAATTCAGAGGAAGACCCAGGGCCACCCCCTCTTCATCCCAGGGCACGCAGGGAGGAACAGAGAAGGGAGCAACGTGAGCTGCGTGGCTTCTGGGTGAGGAAAGGGCCCCGATTCCCTTCATTAGCTGCAGCTGGGAACACAGTGTTTAAAAGGGGAGTTTGCGCACAGCCAACTGTTGAGAGCAAATTGTGAGTTTATCTAGTATCGTCGAGGCTTATCTGGGTTCCTGGTGTCTTCCCAACTGTGTGTGTTTTGCTGGGCTTTCAAGTCTGCAATTCTTTCTCCTGCCCTGTCCAGTTAATTACTGCAGCGTGGTTTGTGTGGATTTTTATTTCCAGTTTATATGTAGTTTTCGGACTGAATTTCCTCCACTTAAAAGACAGTTCTTGGGAGAGTTTTTTTTCTCCAGCCAAAAGTAACCAGACATTGGGGGCAAAGTTGGAGGTATTAAAGGGACTTTTCTTACTGATGTGACTGCGTTGCCTTTGTGCCACGCCCCTTTGGGTCATCACATCACTGCAGTTGTTAAGATCGCAATATGCTTATTAAGTGAATCTCTGCTTCCCCACTGATTTTTGCCTGTCAGACGGTCGCAAAGGGGGACGATGTTAACCTGGGACACTGCCACACCATTATAAATAGGAGACAGTTGCAGAGCATCCAAATTTTGATCACAGGACCATGGGGATGTTACAAAGACAGGTCATAAGTGACTATTTTCAGTGCCATTGTAACAGTTACTAAATGAATGTTGTAAGTTGAGGACCATCTGTACTACAGGGTTAAGTTTATTACTCACAGTGGAGGAAAAAGGCACGAGACAGGATCGTAATTCTGCTAGTCGAAACAAAAATTCGGAGAGTCCAAAAATTTAGCAACCAATGGTGCCTCTTTCTTGCTGTGGCAAGAATGGTCGTAAAATGGGATACAAGTCACTTAGCACTTCACAACAGAAATTTTGGGCTCCATTGTGGTCATAAGTCAAGGACTACCTATAGCAACAGTTGAATATTACTGTCCTTATATTGTGAAGTGAGACTTTTGCTAAGTGAGCTATGTCCCATTTTACGACCATTCTTGCCACAGCGGTTAAGGGAGTGCCCACAATTGATCAGTTAACAACCCGGTTGTTAAGTGAATCTGGATTGGCCATTGGCTTTGCT